TTGCGCCTTTCCTGGAACTCACTTGGTAGCCCAGGCTGGCCTCGAACTCACAGAGATCCGCCTGCCTCTGCCTCCTGAGTGCTGGGATTAAAGGCGTGTGCCACCACCGCCCGGCCGGCCCCTGCTTTTTGCACCTGGTGCTAGGACTGAAAAGCTGGGCCTCAGCATCCTAGGAAAGTCAGCTTCCACTAGAAGCTACCTCTCCACTCCAGCTCTCTGCTCCACCTCAAACACGGTTCCTGAGATCACACCTCTCACTTCACACCCCAGTGCCTAACACACAGAAGATCACCAATAAATATCACAGTCATAATTAACTTTTAGTGAGGAGTTCAGGGATGGCAAGGTGGCAAAATAATTAGAAAAGAAAGAAGGGAGAAAAAAACGAAGGAAACAGGCACCGAGGAAAAGAAAAGCCAATCAAAATAATCCGTTCTAGCTCATTAAGAGTCTTTGTGGAAAAACAAAATATTATGTTGACTGATGTGGCCACTGACACTCAGCAGTCACTCCTGGGCTGGGGCAGAAACTAGGAAGCCCCACTTGTTTTAACGAGTTTCTTGCTGTCCTGACCGGCCAAGGCAATGCCTCTCCAGGTAACCCGGAACAGACGCGCCTGGTGTGGGCTCTTGGAATGACGCCCACCCACCATGCGCCCCTGTGGTCCTGAAACCTCTGCACACCGAGAACCCTCCAATTTAAAAAAACAAAAAAAAAAAAGTTTAAAAACAAGCAAGCAAATGCTCTCTGTGGCACCACAGCGAGTTAACGCACAGAGAGCCTACTGTCTCCCAGCAGCGTACTCACAGGGCGCGCCCCCAGCCGTGCCCAGACGGCACGCCGGGCAGGGGTCCCGGGAAGCCTCCTCCAGCCCGTGGAGCGCAAAGCCCACAACAAAGGCAAGTGCAGGGCCCGGCTGGGTGCTCTCCGCTTCCTGTTTATTCCACCGTGAGGGTCAAAGAGAAATTCAACACACGCCTGCTTCCTCCCGGCCCGGAGACCCAGCCTAAGTGTAACAGCAAGCCGCCCCAGACAATCGACTTTGCCAGCCAATGCCAGGAGCCCCGGGCAGCCCGCGGCCGACGTCAAAGCGCGCGGGAGGAGGGTGGGGGGGACCCGGGGAGACCGTCTGAGGGCTGGGAAGCCTGGAGCCCTAGAGCCGGGGCGCAAGGTGCAGGGGGAAGCTCCCGCGCCGCCTTCTCGCTGCTGACCTCCAGCCCCCCACGACTGCAGCAGCTCGCACACAGGCCTAGGAGCGTCGCCGCTTGGGGCAGGCACCCCCCCCCCCCGTGCCCACCCGGGCCGCTGGGCACTGCAGGATGAAGCGGCTTCAGCGGGACACTCCAGGACACCGGGTCCGGCTTGGCAAGACTCTGCCAGCCGAGCGCTCCGAGGATGGCCAGGCGCCCCGGCCGCCCTCCGCGCCCACCCGCGACACAGCCCACACAGACCTGGTGCGCGGGTCTCGGGGACGCCAGGGCTGGGAGGGCAGCGGTCGCCGGCGCAGGCTGGCAGGCATCCCGGCCCCTTGCCCGCCCCCTCCTCCCGCCCCGGCTCAGAGGTGAACTCCGGCCAGACGCAGAGACCGCGGCGGGCGGCACTCACCTGCAGCAGCCCCTAGATGGGCGAGCGGGACCGCCCACCGTGCCGTTCGGCCACCGGCCCTGCGGGCTGCGGGGGAGGGGCAGCGCTCCGGGTGGCGCGACACGGCGCGGCGTGGCTCTTTAAGAGGGACCTGCCACCGGGCTGGCTCCCGGAGCTCCCCGCCCCCCTTTCGCCTTCTCAGGACTTGCAGCCTGTCTGGCGGCCGCCGCGGCTCCTCCCCGGCTCGCTGGGGATCCCCGCCGGCTGACAGGAGGGAGGAAGGAAGGGAGGGGAGCAGAGCGCCGGTGCTGTCGGGCTGGTGGCCCGGGTCCCGCCACCGCCGCCGCCACCGCCGCCGCCGCCGCCGCCGCCGCGCCGAGGCCGGGTCTGTCTCAACTCAGCCTCGGCCGCTCCTCCCCCGGCTCTGCGGCGGGGACCCGGCGCGCGGCCAGACGGCGGGGGCGGGGGGCGCCGCCGGGGATGCGGCCCCGCCCAGGTGCACACCCGGTGCCCCCCAAGGCTGCAGGACCCGAACTCCCGGGGGCGATCAGCGCACACCCGGGATCCGGAGCTGCGTAAAGAGCCTGGAGCTGGGGGTGCGAGAGGAGCGCTCGCTGCGGGTAGGCCACGGGCGGTTTGGGAAGGGGGCCACCTACTGCCTCCGGGGCTGTGGATGCCCACCCGCAGCGGAACTTGATCCTCGGCTCTCGGGCACACAGTAGGACCTCAGGACAGTGAGTGGGAATGGTTAAGTGTCTGAGGATCCCCCTCCTCCAGGTTGGCGGAGATCCTATGGACTCCCTGGTGTCCTGCCCTCTTCTAGCGAAATGGGTCTGGACTAGGCAATGGGGTGGATCCTTCCTCTAGGAGCTGTGACCCTTTTGCCCTTGAAGAAAGACCTTCAAGTCCTACGAACGCTGGGACGGGACCTCTACTGGAGTGCACACAGTAGGTCATCGGTTCTCCAGAAGTACCAGAACACACACAGCCATAATTGATGGAGATTGATTACTGCCACCGCCAATTTTATTGCAGTCAACACATTTAGAGAGTTGAGTTCCTCTCTGCCAAAATTATCCTCCCGGCAGACCTTCAAGATACATGAACCCAGGTTTCAGGTTTGGTTTAACAGAGATGGAAATTTAAAGGGGTAACAGCTTTCACCTCTTGCCCACACTCCCACCTCATACTCCAATGATACCAGAGAAATGAATATTTTGAAATCTGCAGTTAGTGTATCAGTAACTTTTCTGCTAGTGGAATATTCATTCAGTTTTTCTTATGTCTTCAGTGCTACTCAGCCATCATAGCAATCCGAGTTCGTATGTGATCTAGCAATAGCTGCCACGGTGGAGACTCGTACATTAAGCATTTCTCACAGGTTGCTTTTCTTTCGTCCTCACGGTGACAGTGAGCTAGCTAGTCCCCACTTGAAAGATGACGAAGTTGAGGCTGTGAAGCCTTTGGTGATGTGCCCCCAACCACAAAGATCAAGGTTTAGCGTTGCTAAATGGCAGCGCCTCACACGGGGTGTTCAATCCACGTACCATACCGCCACCTACCTACGGCAACTTGCACATCCAGTTCCGTTCAGCTCGGCCCAGGAGCAACCGAGACACACATCTGGCTATGTCTGGCGCTGTGCTGGCTCCCAGGTGGGGATGCTCAGCTCCCAGATAATAGAGGAGCACTGTCGGGGAGGAGGGGCTTGGAACCCAGCTGTTGGGGCAAACTTTCTTGTTTTCCGTTTCAGCTGTGGGCGCTCTCACCCTTACCCATGGGTACCGCACGTTACAGTAATGGGAACGCTGGCGATATTGAGCTGGTTTGCTTTCGGTAAAATTCATCCTGCTTGTGTTAGTTTCAGTCAGCCTCATCCGTGTTCTGTCCACTCCGCTGGATGCCAGAGCTCAGGCAGGAGCTGGGGGGGGGGGGGGGGCTTGTTTTGCTGTCTGAAGGAGAATGGAAATTCCTAGTCACTAAGGACTCAGAAGACTTGGGGGAATGCCTAGCAATGGGTAGTAACAGTAAACAACATTGAAAGATGATATCAATTAATTGGATAAAAATAAAATAATTTTTTTCAGAAAAAGGAAATGAGTGTGGGGGACATCTTTTTCAGTGTATCATTGTAGATCCCTTGCAGTTCATCTTATGTCAATTAGCCCTGCCCATATTTAGTCCATACAAGGTTACTAGCCTGTCATCTAAAGACATAAAAATGGAGGCTAGTAGGGCATAGGTAGCCTATTTGGGTCCCAGTCAGGAGTGGTGGCTGTGGGGTCCCTGGGAGAAAGTAGTTCTGGGGGGGGGGGGGGGGGGATGAGCAATTGATTAAAATAAAATAGGATCTAAGGGCCCCAAGTGACCACAAGATGAATGTGAGTCAGAGAGTATGATTCTGTTATTTAGATCTCACACGTAACATTTAAATAAAACATAAGCTGTCCAAAATAACCCCATCCTACTCTTTGTGCCTTTTAAACTGGAGAAAAGGAGATAGACAGACTTGCACTGTGGTAACTCCAGTCCTGGAGAAGTGAGTCTGGATACTCAGAAACAGAATCTATGGATGAACAGGTCTAGGAGTGCAGGGCCTGCCCCTTGTTCCTCAATAGCAGGGTTTCATCTTACTGCCCGGGATGGTCAGACCTCAGAGAGCAAGCTATGAACCGGAGATGGTCCTCCTTAGGATCTTTTGTGATGCTGGCCATCTGCACACACATACCACTCTGGCATGTGTCTGCCTCCATGCTTCAGGGTACACACACCTACAAGATCCTCTTTCCTCGGAATTAGGTTTAAAGTCACAAGAGATGGCAAAGGACCCCTTTTGATTTCAGTCTTGTGCGATGAAGGACCACCCCCCTTAGTGGGGACAAAACCTATATGTTTTTTTTTTTCTTGAAGACACAGAGGAGGAGGGAAAAGAGAAAAATAATTAAATGGCTGCCTCAAAGATGACCCGTCTAAGCCCACTTGTATATGGCATCTAGGCAGCATTAGCAAAATAAAGAAAATGTTCCTACATGATTTGCCACTTACAAATGAACATTCCAGGACTAAGAATTCGTTAGGTGGTCCTCAGAGTTCTGCATCTCCTCAGTCTGTCAGGGCCACAGCTGCCTCCTTTGGTGCCAGCCTAGCCATGTGGGACCTGTGTTCTTGGAACTCCTTCCTAGTGAGCTCTAAAGTCAGGGAGAATAGGGGAGAAAGTTGTGTGATATTTGGAAGGAAAAAGTACGGTGTGGTTCTTTGTGACGCCCCTTCTCTCCCCCTTGACTTGAGATCCCCTTGTCTCCACCAGGTATTCCTCCTCAGTGTCACCAAAGTCCTAATCAGGGGTGTGGGCAGTGCTGTTATAGAGGTTCTTAGCCTTTCACCTGGGTCTTCCTCATCACTGAAGTTGAACAGACAAAAGGCAGCCCAGGTTTGTCTGTCCCTGTTGCCCCACATGGCACCCCTGTCCCAACCAAATTCACAGCTTCTCATCCCATCCGCCGGCCCCACCTCCCTCAGCAAACTCAGTCCACATCCTTTACAAGGGTTGTGCTTTTCTGAGCAAGTCCTGACAGAGTAACGTCTCTGTGTGCCTATCTCCTGTCTTAACGGAGGACCAAGTAGAGCTTGTCTCTCTCCGTGTAGTTCTCCTTATACATGAATGTCCCGTTAAAAATGGCAAGCTACTTGAACAGTTGCTTAACAATGAAGAATTCTAAATGGCCAATAAGCATGTGAAAACACACCCAACTTTCATGGGGTTCATGAAAAAAATACCACTAAAATAGATTTTTTTAAAAATCTAAAACTGGCCTCTCTAAATGTTAAATAGATTGGGGTCCATCAGAATTGGCGTACCCGGCAGTTCTTCTTCCCGGTGTTACCAGAGAAGTGAATACAGAGGACCAAGAAAAGACAAGAGCAGGCAACTTTCCACCAATCTGATCATTAAAATGCAAAAGGAAAAACTAAAAACAACCCCACGGTCCCGAGTGCATGAAGGATAAACAGTTTTAGGTACATTCGTATAATCAAAGCTTAAGTGTGGCTTAATTTAGAACCACTGATAGACACAACACGGATGGATGTCACATTTATTTGGCTCACAGAAGACAGACAGAAACATAATACTGTGGCTTTATCTTATTTATATGATGTTACAAAATGTAATAATTGTTGGTGATAGGAGTTAGAACATTGAGGGGGGGCTGGGGAGATGGCTCAATGGTTAAGAGCACTTGCTGCCCTTGCAGAGGACCACATAATGGCTTACAACAGTCTACAACTCTGTTCCCAGGGAGGATCCAGTGCCCCCTTCTGGCTTCCTCAGGCACTGCATATACATAGACATGCCTGTCTAAAATTCCAGTAGTTGTATACTTAAAATTATGGTCTGGGGGAGGTAATATGTGTGTGATATAATAAAAATATAAGTGTGAGAAGGAGAATTAATTAATTGGCTGTAGGAAGACCTGTGGTGATACCTTATTTGTGCTGAAATGTGATATTTTATTTGTATGTTAATAAATAAAGTTGCCTGGAGATCAGAGGTCAAATAGCCATAAACAGAAGTCAGGCAGTGGTAGCCCACGCCCTTCATCCCATCACATGTCAGGCAGAGTCTCTGTGTGTTCAAGGACACAGCCAAGCTTGGTGACACATGCCTTTAATCCCAGTACCAACCATAGAGACCTGGAGGTCTGTATAGACAGGCAGTGACGAGGAAGTCATGTGGTTGAGCTTAGAACCAATGAGAAGGCAGAATAGGAAGGCAATAAAAACACAGGCTACACAGGAAGAAGCTCTCTCTGTGGAAGCTACTGCTGGTGGTAAGCTAAGGCTAGTCGTGGCTATTGCTCTGATCTCTTTGGCTGTTACCTCTGTATTTGGCTCTGTGTTTCTTATTTAATAAGACTGTTTAGAAATTTGTCTACAAAGACCTGATAAGATGAGGTCACTCTGTGGTAGGCACAACTCTTTCAGATAGAAATATAGCAGAGAGAACTATGTACATGCTATGGTTTGGACATGAAGCATCCCCAAAGGTTCGTTTGTTAAGAGGTTGGTCCTTAGTCCAAGGCACTAATGGGAAATGGTAGAACTTTTAAAAGGTGCAGCCTACGGGAGAAGTTAGAGCATTGGCAGCATGCCCTTGAAGGGATATTGGGCCCCTGACCTCTTCTTTTCACGCTTTGCCAGTGGTTCTCAATCTGTGGGTCACGACCCCAGAAGGACCACATCTCAGATATTTACATTATGATTCATAACAGTAGCAAAACTACGGCTTTGAAGTAGCAACAAAATAATCTCATGAGGAACTGTATGAAAGGGTTGCAGCATTAGGAACACTGAAAACCACGGCTCTTGGCTTCCTGGTCAACTCTACCACATGCTACCACGATGAGATACTGTACCAGCAGGGTATAGAGCAACCAGGGTAAGGCGAATGTGGGCCTAGAGCCCTGAAACCTGGAGGGAAAATAACCTCCTTTCCAACTGATTTTCTCAACTTTGTTGTCAAAAAATGGGAAGGTAACTCAACACCCTACTACTGTACCTGCCAAATGTCTGGCACCTCTTCCCTCTTGCCACAAAGAAGTCATTGACTGGTGTGAATGAACACAAGTGTCACAGGTAGGTGACACTCCTAAGACACATCCATCACAGCATTAAACGCTCCTCCTCTGTGTCCATACCAATGCCATGTTTCTGAAACTGTCCCTTGAAGGTCCCTTGGAAGTTTCCCCAGATGTTTCCTTTCACCTGGTTCCAACTGTAAAGATAGAGATACAGTAAGTCTTGGGTCTGGGTCCCAGACTCCATCCTCAGGGTTTCCCTGATCTGCCTGCCTCACCACACAAAACTCAAGAACCACATGCTTTGCTTAATTTAATCTTGAATTATAAGTTGGCCATCAGTTAAAATGGCAATTAGCATAAATATGTGAAGTAAAAAGTATAAAGTATCTACCAGAAACAAATATGTCAGTGCTACTTGTATGTACGTATAGGCTGAGCATCATAGTTTATTAATACTATTATATCAAAATGCCAGAGATTGTATAGCTTATAAACTGAAAAAAAAAAGTATTTCTTACAGTTCTGGAGGCTTGGAAGTTCAAGATCATGGTGCCAGCAGAGTAGATGTCCACTGATGGCCTGTTTATCATAGATGGTACTTTTTGTGTCTTCATGGAGTTGAGAAGGCAAAAAGAAATTGACTCCCTTCCCCCAGCCTTCTATAAGGACAGTAATACCATTTATGAGAACTGAGTTCTCAAAGCTGACCACTTCTGCAATGGCTCCTCCTCTTAACATTGTCACACTGGGAATTCAAACTCCATGTAAGTTTGGAGAGACACGTTCTCCCAAACCAGAACACTGACATATGCTTGTATCAGATTAGCTTTTACTCGAACTATGCCTACAACACTCTACCTACCTATCTATCTATTTATCTATCCATCTATCATCTATCTATCTATCTATCTATCTATCATATATCTATCTACCATCTGTCTATCTATCTTTTTTTGAATCTTTACATCTACCTACCTCTTCTAGAGGCCTAGGGTCTTGAACATACGAATCGAGAGAGGCTCATAGGCAATTCCTACTTTCTGTCACTCCATGTTATTAGAGGATCTTTCCTGAGATGCCATGCCCCCCCTTTTCATTCATGGAGTACAAGCCCCATTGCAAAAACTAGATGTACATAAACATTATCTTCTGTCTCTAGTGTGACTTCTGACACCCAGTCTCCCTTCTGCAGAACTGGTGAGAAACTGAAGTTCAGTCTGCAGTGCACTCTCTGGTGCCTGTTTGAATGAAAATGTCTCCCACAGCCTCAGGCAATTGAACACTTGGTCCCCAGTCGGTGGCACTGTTTGGGGAGGCTTAGGAGGTATGGCCTTGCTGGAGGAAGTGTGTCACCAGAGGCAGACTTTTAGAGTTTAAAGACCTGGACCATTTCTAGTTCCACACACTGTGCTTCACGCTTGCTGTTCAAGATGTGAGCCCTCAGCTTCCTGCTCATCCCATCATGCCTGTGGTTTGCTCCCAGCTTCCCCACTGTAACGAAGACATATCCCTCTGGAACCGTGAGCCCGAATAAAGCCTTTCTTCTGTAAGTTGCTTCGGTCATGGTGTTTTATCACAGCAGTATTAAAAAAAAAAAACAATACACACTCTCTCTCTAAGGCTTAGCAATATTATGGGATATTTGGGAATGCTAGGGGTGGTCCACACATTTCTGCCGTGGTAACTTCTGTCACCATCCATGTGGTCATTTGAGATGCAGCCGCTCACTCACTACTGTTTGTCCCTCAGGCACGGATATGTGTTAAGGGGAACCTGTGATTCTGTTTACTTGATCCCTTTTCAGGGTTCTGCCACCAATCAGGGAGTTCTTCCAGGAAGAATGGCCCAGACAAGCTTGGTGTTCTCGGAACAGGAAAACCCTGCTCATCTCAGTTCTGTAAATGCACTTGTCATTAAAAAATAATAATAATAAAATAAAATTCAAAAATTCCTCCTGCTTCACCTCTTCCGGGTATCTTCAAATGCTCCTCTGGGATTATGCAGATCAGAAGCCAGGGAGAAAGACTCTGGGGCTCTTTTCTTTCTCCAATTCCAGAAGCATTGCATCTAAGGTATCAAAGTACAAAACAAGTTGGCTATCTGGATAAAGAAAAGAAAAAAGAAACTGCAGAAATATGTTTGTGAAGTAAGTGTGGCAGCAGAATATAGTTGGAAGGTTTCTCAGGTCCCCCCCCCCCCCCCCCACAGTCCCATAGCTGCTTATAAAATAATCACTCAGAGGCTTAATATTATTTACAAACTGTATGGTCTATGGCAGGCCTCTTGCAAGCTAGCTCTAATACCTTAAATTAACCCATTTCTATTAATCTATGTTTTGCCACAGATTCCATGGCTTACTGGTCTGCTGGCATGTTTTTCCTTGGGCAGCAGGCTGGCATCTCTCTGCATACTCTGCCTTTCTCTTTCCTGTCTCCTTGGATTTCCCATCTGCCTCTAAGATGCCTTGCCATAGGCCAAAGCAGCTTATTTTTTAATCAATGGAAACAACATATATTCACAGCGTATAGAAAGACATCCCCCAGCAGTAGAATCCTGAGTTAACACCAAGTGACCCTGGTCCTGCACCCGCACAGCCCTGGGCAAGTGGAGCTGGCATAGAAGGAGAACACAGCTTGGTAACCACATTACTGAACACTTTAAGGCATCTGAACTACTCTCCTGAGCCTTTACATCTCTGGCTGGTAGCAGAATAGGAGGCCAGAGAGTCACAGCATAACAGTGATTGAAAACCAGGGAGCTCTTCCATGCAGCCTTTGAGGATGAAGGGCAATCCATGGCCAGGAATGAGGGCAGCCTGTGGGGTCTAGGAGAAAATGCAGGTGTCAACTAGCAAACACAGACTTCCTACTCATGGCTTAAAGGAACCTCAACCACATGAGATCTGTGGCCCCAGTAGATAACTTGATTGCAGCCTAAGGTGAATACCTGAGCAGATGATCTAGCCAGGCCCAGACAGAGCCATGAGTTCATCCATGGGTTGCATCCTCTTAAGTTATTGAGTTGGTGGCAATTTGTTACTCAGCAATAGAAACCAACATATAATATGTTAGAATATAAAAATATTGTCCAGACAAATGTTTTTGTTCTTCTTCCCCAACATCCCTCCTCTCAATCATTTCCCAAAAGGAAAAGGAAGATAAGGTGAAGGCCTAAATATGTAGCCTACAAGATGTCAGCTATAAAGATGTTCAACCGGCTCCTAAATCAACTGCTATTGATCCCCAGAGCCCCGGCATTCTTCAGCTGATGGGAGGAGATTGATTCATTTGTAGTGAGAAGTAGACTATAGATGTAGAAAACAATGCCTAAAAAAACCTCACCATTCTATTTAAGACCTTATGTTACTAAGCTTTCTGTTACCCTAAGAAAATGCCTGAGATAATCAAGTTAACAAGAAAAAAGATTTATCTTGACTCACAGTCCTATAGAAGGTTTCTGGTGTTTCCAGGCCTGTTGCACTGTGACAGGAATGTGTGGCAGAATATGTTGTTCACATCATAAGCAAAGAGTGAGGGAAAGACATTGGCATCTCACAATCCCCCTGGCAGGCAAACCCTCAGTCACACACACACACACATACACACACACACACACACACACACACACACACACACACACACACACTATTTCTTGCCTTTTATAACTTCATCCAATGGTAGTGACCTAAGGGCCATGCTCTTAATAAATATACAGGCCACCAAGAGACATTCCAGATTCAAACTATAACAGACCCTGCAATAAAAAAGAGAAAACTGGGAGTCAGAAACCTCAACTCTATCATTAACTCAATATGTAAATGTGGGTACATTACCTCTGCATGAGGCTTGGAGCAACTAGAGTTTGAGTAAATCCCTTCAATTCACTTGACCACTGAAGGAGAAATAAAAACATTTAGAAGCAAAGCCAATTCTTAATCAGCCCAAAAGTGTTAAGTAGACAACTTGTTCTCAGCTGACATCTCAGTTAAATCACAAGCTATATTGCTCTGCATTTTCATAAATTCTGGAATTTCCAGGGAATTGTCCATAAGGGTAAGGCAGTCTCAGAAACGCCTGTAAATGTATTTTTACCCAGTTTGTTTCCAACTTCCTCAGACAGCTTTCCAAGAGCAGCCAGGGCTGCTAGGAAGCCTTATTGAGTTTGGGAAGTTTGGTCAGGCATTGAGGCAAGACCTGGGCTTTGGTGTGGCTCCTGGGGCCCTGGTTTGCTGTCTAGTGCATGCAGAGAAGCTACAATCTTCTGCCTTATGGGTGTTCACTTGAAGGCAGCTCCCAGCTCTTCCAAGCCAGCCAGTCACGGCTTTGTCAATCCCTGTCTCTAGTCATTCTTGCCTTTCTCTGAACACTTCCAGCTGGCCACCCCTCTCCTTATACTGTGGCCCCTCAAAGTCGACATAATGTCATGAGTGGGTATTATTCTATAATAACTAGGTGTCTCACCTTCCTGGACATGACAGCTTTGTTTATGCAAACAAACATTGCCTTGATTCACCTCAGCAGTCAACCTCAGCCTCCAATCAACTACTGAAAGTCCAAAGTCCATCTTTAGGATTCTTTGGTTTACAAGCAACAAGGCACAGGGCCAATGGGTAGCTGCCATGCAGGACCAGGGAGCTAAGTTACTTCCCAGAACCCACGTAAGGGTAGAAGGAGAGACCCAACCCCACGGAGCTGTCCTCCGACCTCCACATGTATGCCACAACATTTGCCCCCTCACACGATGATGCTTGATTAGTTCATTTAAAGAAAACATTTAAAGATGGCAACACACCCCTTAAACTGAGGCTGAAAGGGAATTTCTTGGCTCTCTCCATCTGTGAATTCCAAGGGGCTGCCTGAGACTTCAAGTAGGTCTAAAGCTGAGGTTTTCTTGTGATTGGTGTGTGTGTGTGTGTGTGTGTGTGTGTGTGCGCGCGCGCGCGCGCAAGAGGTCAACCTCAGGTGTTTCTCAGATGCTGCTTACCTTTTTGTTGTTTTATTTTGTTTTTGTTTTATTTTTTGTTTTTTGAGACAGTGTCTCTGGCCTGGAGTTCTTCAAGTGGGTTAGGCTGACCGCTGTGATAGTCTGAAATAAAATGGCTCCCAAAGGGAGTGGTACTATTAGGAGGTGTGGCTTTGTTGGAGGAAATGAGTCACTGTGGGGGTGGGCTTTAAGGTCTCCTATGCTCAAGCTATGCCCATTGTCACAGTCCACTTCCCGTTGCCTTCTGATCAAGATATAGCCAGCACCATGTCTGCCTGCACGTCACCATGCTCCCTGCCATGATGATAATGGACTAGACCTCTGAAACTGTAAGCCTAAGCCGCCTCAATTAAATGTTTTCCTTTATAAGAGTTGCCGTGGTCATGGTGTCTCTTCGTGGCAATGGAAACCCTAACTAAGACAGCTACCCAGTAACCCCCAAGACTTCACCTGTCTCTACATCCCCAGGACCGGCATTATGTATAAGCATGTGCCACAGGCCCGGCCTTTCTACCCTGGTCCTCATGTTTACAAAGCAAGCCCTTCCTGGCCCCAAAGCCCGGTGTTAACTGGAGGTTTCACCTTTTCAAACCCCTTCCTTCCTGCTTGGCTGTCCCCCTGGATTTGATTCTCAGCTAGGATCTTGCCCTGGGCTCTCCAGTTTCTCTAATCTCCTCCCTGCAGACAGATTGGCATATCCAATAAATAACCACTTTTTTGAGACAGGGTTTCTCTGTGTAACAGCTCTGGCTGTCCTGGAACTCACTTTGTAAACCAGGCTGGCCTCGAACGCACAGAGATCCACCTGCCTCTGCCTCCAGAGTGCTGGGGTTAAAGGTGTGCACCACCACTGGTCCAGCTGCTTTTTCCTTAAAAGGCCTGGCTAAAGTTTGGCCTCCCAGGTGTCCATCATAGGCATAGAATCAACCCCACCCAGAACCTGCCCCAGAGGAAGAGCAGCCTCTCCATAGAGATGCATTCACTTAACACTATAAAGGACACATTTTCTCAAAGTATCGAGGATTATTTGATGTAATTTGTAAAACTGAGCAGTAGCCTGTTCTGCTGACTGTTTCTTCTCTATAATTAGGCACACACAAACATTTGTTTAAAGTACCTTTTATTGGGTAATTTATAACCACAGAGATTCATTGGACACAGTTCTAGAGACTGACAATTCTAATACCAAGGTGCCAGTCAGTACAGTATCTGGAAAATTCTGTCCCTACTTCAAAGCTGGCAACACCTTTCTGCACCTTCACACTACAGGAGGACCTAGGACACTCCTACAGCCTCTTTCATGGGGGCTAAACCCATCAGGACACCAGGAACCTCACGGCTTAATCTGTTCCCAGGAGGCCTGCCTTGTAACACTGCAACATGAGTATCATGCTCCAGCATGCACCTTGGAGGAGCATCAGCTTTCAATCTTGGATCTTACTTGGTTTTCCCTATAACCTCCCACTTTTAGAAAAAGTGCAAACAAGACCATTCAGACTAAATAACTGTAAGGTTTAATTCAAAGAGAGTAATTAACAAGAAATAATGTTAGCCAAATTAATCCCTGCCTCTGACCTTTCAGGTTTCAATAAATTGATCAGCAAGGTACCTGGGGCATTCACATTCCTGTCGACACACCAGGGGAGCATCTTCCTCTCCAAACCAGTCCTGAACTATATCTCAGTCCTGTCAACAAGAAAGGTCAGGTAAAGAGTGAGCCACGAGCCAGGCAGTGGTGGCACATGCCTCGGGAGGCAGAGGCAGGTGGATCTCTGTGAGTTCAAGGCCAGCTCGGTCTACAGAGCGAGATCCAGGACAGGCTCCAAAGCTACACAGAGAAACTCTGTCTTGAAAAACCAAAAAAAAAAAAAAAAAAAAAAGAGTGAGCCACGAAGCTTTTTCCATTGTAGACAATGTGTGTCACACCGTGGAAATCACAGTTGGGAATTCTGAGACAGTCTCTAGTACTAGAGGGAGCAATAAGCCAGTTATGTCACAATAATTCTTGGCTGTTACCACTTTTTGAGTAATATGAGCACATAGACACTGTGCTGAGAAACAAGATATTTATTTCCTCCTGAAGACTTTGGCGCTCTGGAACAGCTAATAGTTTGCAGGGGGGAATCACCCAGAAAGAGAGCAAAGATACTCAACTGACATGAGGCTTCTCTAAATTTGTTTCGGAA